AAATACAACCCTTCTGCAACAACTAGCGTTTAAAGGTAAGAGAGGTAAGTTGAAATTAGGTATTTATAGCTTTATGGGTAAGCAATTATTGACTATTGATTAATACGGATTTTATGTCTTTCATTTCAGAACTAAGCAAAAGGAAGACAGTTGCCAACAAACTTCAAATCTCAAGAGATGATATGGGCAGCAGTTTACAAATGCAACAATAGATTATCAACTGTAATCATATAATTATATACTCGAATAATGTATTGTTTACAAATAGAGATTTTAGTGATTGAAAGAATATTGTAATATCAAAGATCTCACAACAAGAGTATGAAGAGTATGCAACAAATAGCATTACTAAACAATGTACTCGGTTTAGTGGGAAACCAGCACAAACAATGCAAAGCAAACACTGTACAATGAACAATGCAACAACAATAAACAGAATGCATTGACAAACGACAAACAAACAGCTGCACACAAAGATAACATACACTGTCAACAATAAATACAGCGCATACAATGAACATGGCACAAATTCAACGAAAGATAAGTAGTACCGTACCAAGATCACTGGAAACCTCATGAGTGCGAAGCACAAAAGGAAGATAAAGGGGCGTCCCCCATGAAACGTAATGCACCAGTAAAATGCAGAAGCACGAAGTAATTAAGGTAAATAGTTTACGACATAAACGTCAACTCAAAGAGTACTAATAAACCAGCCACTATAAAACAGTGGTTAAAATCCACAAGTATAACAACTTGGGCAATAAATAAGCAATTAATGACCCATAAATAAGGGCTTGCGAATGTGCATACTAATATCAAATATATCCATGAACGGACAACTTGTGCATAGCGCAACAAAGTACAAAATGTACAAATACAAAAGTACACAACAATGGTACAAAGTACAATATTATACTAAACCCTTGGCCAAGGAATTAATTTACGAGTGCACTCACCAATAGAAGTTGCCTTACAGCAGACAGGCAATGAGGAAACCACGGCAAAGGGGGGCGCCTCCCCAGAGCCGGGAGAAGAGAAGAACAAAATGACGACAGACTACGTCATTTAAACTTGCAGCGCAAGCGGACACAGTGCACAGCACTACAAACAAGCCCAAAATGCACTAGGGCAAAAGTCGAGCACGAAGCTCGTCACACAAGCACACACACACGAAACAGCTTGAAGTCGAACGCCGGACATGACGTCATGGAGCTCGCCGCCCGCCGGAAGTTTCCGGCGGTGGCGAGAGAAGAACAAGATCAGCCCTCGTGGTGAAGGCAAATTGACGGGCATGGTGGCGATGGTGACGTTGGTGAACAGCAGCAGGGACGGAGGCAGGGCGATGAGGCGAACTAGCCCATCATGGCGCTAGGCCAGGTACGAGAGGCCCTGTGTACAAACATGAACAGGTTAAAATGATGTTGGTTTGAAAAACGATACCTTGGTCCCTTGCTGCTGACACACACCTTGCGGGCGTCGAAAATATTGATGATGATGGCATGGTGACAAGTGAAAAGAACTTCGACAACGCGAAAAAGCCTACACAGGCGAACGACCGGCACACATGGCAAGGCACGGCGTGGCGAGGAGCACGGCACGGCGCGCGTGGTGACGCAGCGACGACCGACCCAACCCCAGCCAACTGCAATGGCTGTTTCCGGTCGCTAGCTGTCCCCCCACCACCACAGTCGGCCTGGGATCTTGCCACATTTGTCACTACACATGAGGGGAGAAAGACCCTGATTATTCTGGTCGGGTCACCCAGCTGGTAAGTTCAAAGCCACGGTTATACCTACCCAACCACATTTGATAGACTCGTTTCATCTTTGTTCACCGTCAGTACATTCTAATTATAATTAGGAGCCATGATAATTTGCTGTCATACTAGGGATTGTTGGCATCAGTGTCACAACAAGCACCGTTTCTTTGAATGTTTCTGCTTTCATTCTGGGTTGTTTATTTCGTGATTTTCTAATATTATTCATAATGCAGCGACTCATTTTGATCATGGGCGCAAAGAAGAAGAGGTGTTGTGTGTCCGGGTGCTCTGCTTATGCCGTGTCAGGTGATGGAAAGACAGTTTTTCACTTCCCGCCTGACATGCGCAGGTTAGTGTATTCCTACTACTTTTGTGTTTCTGTATGGTATGTGGTCATTGTGGAATATTTTCCCCTGATTTCTGTGCAAGAGTGTCCTCGTGACACAATTAATATCCTGTGATGTTATTTCAGGCGCCGCAAGTGGCTGAAAGTCATAGGGAACATTGATCTTTTACTCACAGCTGACTCGACATTATCATCATCTCGATTTGTATGCCCTGCACATTTTGAGAACAACATGTTCTGGGACAAATTCCATCAGAGGTTGCAGAGGCATGCTGTTCCAACTAAATTTGGTCCAAACCATCAGGAACTGTCAGAGAGCCAGATGGTAGCTTGGGACAGTAGGCATGGTAAATTTTTCTTTGGAATAATTTGAATTGTGCAGTAGAGTTTATTATATATTAATTAAACAACCCATTACTGACCATTATTAAAATTCTACTCTTCACTTTTGCAGGAATAGCAACTCCATTTATTTTCTCGGCAACCTCTGACCAGTCCTTTGAAGACACATCAGCAGCCTCCATAACAGGTATTGTGTATAGTTATGTGCCTCTTTAAACTAATTGAATTAGTGTGGCTTCTTATTCATGAGGGATAATTTTTATGTTTAATTTTAGTGGACAAGGTGACAGAGAATCCCGAGCAGACCTCAATAAGGAGCCATTTTGGAAGTTCTTCTGCCTCACCAGGTGGGTTCCCAAGTTTTAGCCTGCACTTCTACTATAAAAAGGCCATTCTCCCAGTTCTACCAGTTCATTTTAAATTAAATGTGCACATTTATCAGCTGTAAATTTTGTTCTCAGGCAAGAGATCCTTTGAGGAGGTGGAGCCTGGAGATGAAGGAGACTTCACTGGGGAGACGGAGAAGTGCCCAAGGAGGGATGCATATCCTGATGCTACACCAAGACGTGAGTGTTTGTTTTTTAGCCCGCCCTTCTGCTTTGAAAAAGCTATCTAGCAGTTGATGGTGCTGAAATGTTTCAGGTTGCAGGGAATCTCTTGGTGCTAGGCAACGGTCTTTGGCCCCTGGGCAAAGGATGTCTAGGAAGAGAATTTGTGAGGCTGTGGGGGTGGTGTCTCTGTCACCTCAAAAGGTAGAGCTAGCCAAGACAGTGATGGAGTATCGCCAGTCAGCATTTACAGTCCACCACAAACTGGACAAGGCTCAGCGAAGATGCTCTTCGCTGTCAAAGCTAGCCTCCAAAAGGTTTGTGGATATGGTGGATGAACTCACCATCTCTCCTCTCACCAGACAAATAGTCAGAGCAGAAATGGTCAACATGAAGCGTCCAAAGAAGAAACGACTTTGGACGCTAAATGACAAGCTTTCTGCTCTGGCTATATATAAGCGAAGCACCCGTGCATACAGGTTTTTACGAAGTTACATGATTTTGCCATCAGAAACCACACTTAAAAATTTACTGCAAGCTGTGCCATTAGAACC